AAGGAAGGAAGGAAGGACTTTGTTCCGGTATTTCAGTTATTTGAAATAACTGCAATCCTTCTTTTTCCAGTTGGTGTTGTTATCACACAAACATATCCATTCGTTGTTGAACTTAGCTATGCCAACAGTGCCAGTCCCCTACCTCTCCCAGATCCACCCCCGTCTCACGACCCTCTTCTGCTCAGTACGAGGCCTCCAACTGTACCACGCTGCCTCCCAGAGAAACCACGAGCCCCTCCTCCCGGGAGTGTTGCTCTCCTGATGGCCCACGGAGGAAGCAGTGGTGACATGAGGAGCACACGTGAATGTCATTTGGCATACTGACACATTACAGATGACTGGTTAGAAAAATGAGGGGACAAGGGAAGGATTAAAAGTCACCTTACTTATTATTATTAGCATATTTATGAGCACATATTGAGGGAAAAGTTGCTATAATAATAAAGTATCACTGAAAACTGGAAAAATATTTTGCCACTATGAGAATCGAAGCTCACTAGTGAATTCTTTTTAAAAAGACTTTTTTTTTTCTTTTTTTCAGACAGGCACCCTGAGTAGAGCACTGTGGGGTCATAGCTCACAGCAATCTCAAGCTCTTGGGCTCAAGCAATCGTCTTGCCTCAGTTTTTCTATTTTTAGTAGAGACTGGGTCTCCATCTTGCTCAGGCTGGTCTTGAATTCCTGAGCTCAAACAATCCACCCACCTCTGTCTCTAAAAAGGCCTTTAAAAAAAACAAACAAACTACTATTCTTAAGAGAGTAGGTTAAAGATGAAGGTAGGCATTAGATATAAGAAGACCATCAGGACGACTTAATCTTGTGATATAAACTAAACATTTGTAGCTTACCTACATTGAGCGTTTATACCACGTGCCTGGTCTGTGCTAGGCACATACATAGATTATCTCTCTTTATTCTCAAAATAGCCACAAGCAATAGGCGTTCTCCTTTTCACAGATGAGAAACTGCGGCACAGGGAGGTTATGTACAAACCCAGTCACCTAGCTGCTAAGAGTGCCTCCCAATTAAGTCCACATGGAAGAAGGAAATGAAGTTTCTCCAGATGTGAAAAATCAAAGTCTAGGGTGGCGCCTGTGGCTCAAAAGGATAGGGCACTGGACCCATATGCCAGAGGAGGCAGGTTCAAACCCAGCCCCACCCCACCCCCTAAAAAAGAAAAATTGAAGTCTAAAAAATGGTAATATTTTTCCCAACAAGTGATTGCTGCTTTTATTGCTGCATTTTTGAAATTTCAATTTTTTTTTTTTTTTTGGAGACAGTGTTACTTTGTCATCCTGGATAGAGTGTCATGGCGTCATCACAGCTCAAAGCAACCCCAAACTCCTGAGTTCAAACGATCCCCCTGCCTCAGTAGCTGGGACTACAGGCACCTGCCACAATGCCTGGCTAATTTTTCTATTTTTAGTAGAGACGGGGGTCTCGTTCTTGCTCAGACTGATCTAGAACTCCTGAGCTCAGGCAATCCACCTGTTGTGGCCTCCTAGAGTGCTAGGAATACAGATGAGAGGCACTCTGCCTCCCAGCCTTCGAAACTTCAGTTTTAATTCTTTCATTTATCCCGTCTTTTCTCTTTCTCCTTCCTTCCTGTCTCCCACCAGCGTGCACACCCACATACACGTCCTCTCTTCACTGGGCTTTGCAGGTATCTCTTTGATTGGCCTCTCAGCCCTGAGTGCTTCTTGCCCAGAGGAAAGCAAAGGATGGGTGTTGTTCTCTCTAGAAATCACGTGAGACCACAATACCTGTGACCAGCTTGCAGTCTCATAAGAGATGCATGACTGTGGCCCCCCAGATTCTCAAGAAGGTGCTCTTCCTGCATACACACCCACCTTGCACACCATGTTGTGTCCAGCACTCAGCCTGCACACACAAAGGCTGTGTGATGCTCCCTAGCCCAAATGATTCGGACTGGGAGATTTAAATAACTGCAGGGCTGTTTCTAACTCCTTGCTGCAACCTAATGATGCTGGAGGGGAGCCAGGCCCCAGGCAGGAGAAAAGCCAGGAGGAAGAGCTGCCCAGCCAAGAGCTGACAAGGGCAGCCACCAGAGCAAGGGACAGGGACTGTGCCTTTAATCACACAAAATGCACCCTGTATAATTCTCATCTGCCTTGCTCTCCACACTGAGATTTTTTCCACATTTACAATTTTAAGCAAACCCCACATCTTAGTGTGCTAACTTTGGAAGCCAAATAGTATAACAGCATCTCAGTTCCAAGGGAGAAGAAGGAGACGTCGCTTTACTACAATGACGGCCTATATTTAGCTGTTAGTAACACAGAGCTGGCAAACCCATAAGACTCAGCCGTCTTTATAAGAAGATTTAAAGGACTCTTCAAAAAAGTCAACATCGTGATAAAAACAAAAATTGGCAATCAAAGCGACATAATGACCAAACACAACATACGATCTTTGATCAGATCTCAGATCCAAAAAGAAAAATTTAAGAAGGCTGTAAAAGGCTCAGCACCTGTAGGACAGTGGTCTTGGTGCCAGCCACCTACACCAAGGCCAGCGGGTTTGAATCCAGCCCGTGCTAGCTAAACAACAATGACAACTGCAATAAAAAATAGCTGGGCACTGTGGCAGGCACGGCTACTTGGGAGGCTGAGGCAAAAGAATCACTTAAGCCCAAGAGTTTAAGGTTGCTGTGAACTGTGACGACACGGCACTCTACCAAGGGTGGCATAGCGAGACTGTCTCAAAAAAAAAAAAAAAAGGCTGTAAAAGTCAAATTTAAATATGTATATTGAACCATATTGTTGAATACATGTTAATTTTCTTAGGTGTGATTGTATTCGCCTGAGTGAATGTCTTTATTTTTAAGCATATATTTGAATTATTTAAGCAGAGTCATCATAATGTAGGTAACTTAACTTTCAAATGGTCAAAAAAAAAGTCTGTGTGTGTACATATACATGTGCACACATGGAGGGTGGGGACCGTGAGCCTGTCCGCCTGTCCATGGAGGGACATAAAGCAAATATGGCAAAATCTTAATGAGACCAGGGGTCAGTAAACATTTTTTGTAAAGGGTCAGATAATAAATATTTTAGGACCTGTGAGCCATAGGGTGGTCTCTGTTAAAATACTTCAACACTGTTGCTGTAACCAGACCATAGGTAGACAAATACGCAGCTGGCCTGCATTCCAACAAACTTCAGTCACAAACAGGCTCACCGACTACATCTGTGCTCAGATGACCCCGCTGAAGGTAAAGGGTATTCAGTTATTTGCTGTACTGCTTTTCCAAATTTTCCTATACATTCGAAATTTTTCCCAACAAGTCATGACAAAAGGTTCTTAACTGTATAAAAATATACATCTAGGTAGGGTTGTAACTTCACTGGCTAAATCAATTCCGCAGAATTCAAGGAAAAATAGCTGTCACCTCTGAGACAACCATTATAAAGGCACTCAGGTAAATATGTTCAGGTGCTACTGATGGAAAGTGACCATTTTTGGCTAACCAGAAAGTACTGGAATCTGAATTTTAATTCAACAGAGAGGTATAACATAAATTTCCTAAAAGAGTCTATTTTGTACTAGACTAATGTCAATGCACGGATTTATATCACTGTTTATGTAACTCCCATGCATCAATCCTCCTTGTTCACAGACCACAGCTTGCCACTTCACGAGTTTCTGGGCCTGTCCTGTGTATGAAAAACATTCCCCAGGGCCATGGTGGAGACTTGAGTTTGCTGCCCTCCCAGGGCCTCGCACTCTGAGCGAGTCTTTGCATCTTACTCCTTTCTTTTCTCTCTCCAAAGGCAAGATGAGAGAATGGCCTGGACAGTCTCTACGGGTACTCACTCAGTATTTAAATAAATTAAATTCAATGCACTGGGCTCCCTTCTAGGTACGTATGAGGTACGTATGAGAATGAATGAATAAAATTCTTTAGTCTTCACAATCCATCAAATACTTGGATTTGTTGAGCATAAAAGGAGCACTGACACCAATTTAGACAATGGGAATGAGAGAAGAATGAACACACCACGGGACTCAGCATAACCCACAGCTTCGGCAGCAGCAGAAGGACCTTGCAGGGCTATCAGAGTTAGAGAAAATACACATTAAGAACACAGCTCAGAGTCCCCACGTGTCTGGCACCTTATGGGCACTCATTAAATGGAAATTATTACGATGACATTTTTGTCCACTCAGGTCAAGAAAGAACCATGAA